TTTAATAACGCAATGCGTATTTGAAAAGTTTATCAGATCTACAGATGCACCCGCACTAAGAGAAAAATGTCGAATTCAAAGTGCATATGTGCGTTCCAAGCCTCAGGCGCGAAGAGGCCGGAGTGGGAGCCGTCGTTACGGCTCGCCGTGACCGAGAAAAATCGGTTCACCCTCTCATAAAAAGTTATCACTTCAAAAAGTAGTTCCAATGAGTGAAAAGTGGGCTAAACCCGCAATCAAAATAAAAAATCACCAATACGAACTGCGAACGCGAAGGCCTGAGAAACTAGATAATTGCCCTTTGCATGGCATCTACATGAACATAAAACGTTTTACAACGTTTGGCAATACAGAGGCAAATTTTGACAGAATATGTAATAATCTGGTGAAATTTTGTGTCGTCCACAAGTATTTTCTGGACAATTCACGATTTTTCCTGACTCAAACTGCTGAAAAATATTTTCAGTTCAATTAAAGTCAAAGAAACAAAATATCTGTTACTCGGCGAATCTTGAACGACACCAGCACTAAATCTATGTTACCAACAGATATCAGCCTAGATTAAAGTAAGTGGAAAAACAAGAAATGACGATTCAAATAGTCATTAAAGAAATTGTTGCATATCATTGTTTGTAGTTATTGCTCATTTATCGGTTGTATATGGACCGCTTATTAATAAGGGTAGTTAATGGACTTTCATTAATTGATAATTGATGAGTATTTGCGATGTTAGTCAGGAAAATTCTATACTTTTCTGGAATGACAACTATGTGACAATGAACAGGTACATACAGGAGTTTAGTTCTTTAAACTGCCTTTGGAACGTCTCAGCGTGGCACAGTTATAAAGAAAAACAATTTCGAATCCAATATTTGCAATTTGTAGCTACGCTTTTAATCTTTTATTCGAATGAACGGGATTTTGATGAAAGTATCTCTGTGGGTAATAAAGCATGGCGAGCACTTGCAACCTTCAAGACAACCAATTGATACAAATCTATGTAAAAAACATACTTACAGTCGATTGTTGAAGGAATTTATGAAGTTATTTATGCCCACTGACGCCATAATTTTGTCGTTTGATTTCACCCAAATGTCACAGGTATTAGGTAGAAACGCGAATAATAAACAGATAAACTTGAATTATTTGAGACCGTCTCACTTTTCGACTGCGTATGTGCCACTGATCAGAATTAGTAAATTAACTGGCTTGACTTTTTGCCTTGAAATCGCACGTAATGTTATGACGATAAAAGTACTGACGACAACCAAAGAAAATAGAACACGTCAGTATAATGTATAATCCACAGATAAAGACAAGAGTATAATCTATACTTGTCTTTATCTATGATTGTACCTAGTTTTTGACCGCGACATCAAGCGGCAGTCCCTAGAAACAATTTAGGTCAGAATAACGTCAGAACCAAAACATTACAGTTACCATCACAGATGATGATAGAGACATAGATAAAGACGATAGAGATCACAAGTGACAGTAAAGAGTGCGGCATTCCATTTTAAAAAAAGGTAAGTTTAGTGTGTCACTTGAATTTGAAACACCGTGTAACATTTGCTACTATCTTGAAATAAACTAGACGTTAATATCTACAACTTTTGTATTAAACATTTTTCTCTAATTTTCAAATTAGATGTTAAAACAGGGTGGCCAAAGTTCAATCAATAACCCTGTGCAAAGTTAAACACTGCGCGCTCTCCGCCCTCTATCTCTAAAACGGTTTAACGTATAAACAAATTTTTGAAACAAAAGTTGTAGAAAATTTAATCCGCTACAATATTCATAATAAATGCAAATACCGTGTGAAGCTCACAGGAAACGAAATACAGTTGAGTCCGGATATAACGAACTTGAAAAATGAACTAAAACTGGTTTGTTATATCCGGAGTATAATAATAATACAAAAACACGTGGTGTATTTTATTTCGTTATTTTTACATAGAGTAGTAGAAGTTAGTAGGTATGACTAAAAAGAACACAAA